GATCTCTAAATTACAAAGGTCTACAAAATTTGAAAACAGAGTTAAAACCCAAAAACCCAATTAACTTTTCAAAGGGATTGAAGTGCTTTGAATCGGAAACTAACCTCAAAATTTCTCTCACTCTCTCGATCTTTAAATTACACAGGTCGAGAAAATTTGAAAACAGAGTTGAGACCCAAAAACCAAAGTAACTTTTCAAAAGGATAGCACTGCTTTGAATCGGAAGCGATCCTCATAATTACATTCTTACATAAGGTTTTTGAGATATCGTATTCCGAAAAACCTCAGATTTTTGGCAATTTTTTAGTTGTTATAACAGAGCGAAGACACCTTTATCTATAAATGTTCTAATGTAATCTGAAAAACCAATCTGTCGACTTTAAAATAAAGTTTAAATCTCGGTTATAACTTCTTTCTTCTTCGAAATATATTAATCTAAAGCATTAAATATCAGGTTTTTGAGATATCGTGTCCTAAATTAAAAAACCTCGAAGAGACCATTGCTTTTAACTTTTTACCTCACATCAGATTTTTGAGATATCGTGTCCTAAAGTTTGAAAAATGCCCGATTTTGACCATTTGAAACGTTAAAAGAATTATCTGTCGACTTTAAAATAAAGTTTTAAATTTTGTTATAACTTCTTTATTCTTCAAAATATCTTAACCTAAACCATTAAACATCAGTTTATAATACGTTATAATAGCGCTAAGATACCTCTATTTTTAAATGTTTGCCTCATAATTTTTCTCCCATATCAGATTTTTGAGTTATTGTGCCCTGAAGTTTGCAAAAAATTATCTGAAAGTCTAATCTATCGGCTTTAAAATATCTTAATCTAAAGCTTAAAACATGAGGTTTTTCTATTTATTCAGTATGTCCCTCTTAAATCCTCACAATCACCTAAACAACATGTTGTAAAATTTTTGACTGAATTTTTGCTGAAACCTTATTGTTTATAAATTTCAACAAAATATTTTTTTTATTTTGTATATTTTATACATTTGCGTATCTTTGAAATCTTTTGTCAGTTTCAAAAGATCTAAAGAATATTTAGAAAAGCTACTGTATTATTTTATTATAAACAATCCGAACATAGGATTTCAATGATTTATTTACACAAATCATCAAATTTCTTTAACAGGCCCAGAGAGAAAAACAAAAACTGAACTTATTAACATGGAGACCCACAAAAAAAGGGGCTAATATTTGTTAAAAGTATGCTACACAAAAGTATGGGAATATCAATCATAGCTGATGAAAGCAACATTAAAGAAAATAGTACTTTTTATAAAAAATACCTTTTTGTAAACTTATTATAATATAAACGGTACTAATACTTGTTGCAAACTGGGTAATTTATGAAAAAAATCTCGAATTTGAATACTTTCGAAAACCAGCAGGATCAAAACTGGTTGTCGACAATACGATCTACAGAAATAATGCAAATTTTCGTCTTTATTAAAAACTTACCTATTATATATAAACTGCTGATATTTGTCACAAATGGTGATCAAGTCAATTGGTGTAATCAGAGGCTTCATATGGCATGTAAAAGGCTTTACTGTACCGTTTCCTTAAGTCTACCATACCATAATATTTCTACGTTTTAATTAATCCATAACTCTGTCACAATTGTTGTTAATATACTGCTAAAAATTGCCAATTAATTTTGTTATTGTCTTTCGATATTAAACAAACATAGTGATGGTGGTCTTTTCGCTCACTGATCTTGTGCTGAAATTAAAGAATAAAATAATGTTTTTGATATTATGTGGACATGAATATATATAAACAAAAAAATGGACAAAAATATATAGTAAACAATTTTGAAAATTAAGCCAAAGAAAGAGGGAATAAGGAAATTGATAGTTAAAAAGTGGATACACCATTGCCTTTTATAAAACAGAAACTTTTTAAAGAAAAATTAATTATAAAGGGTCTTGAAAAAAATGTAGTATTTTAAAACAAAATATTTAAAAGAATTTTAAACAATTTAAAAGTAATTGCTTGGGGACACAAGTACCTTAATAAATAAAGTTTAAAATAATAAATTTAAAATAAAAACAAAAGGGATTTCTTAGAAAAAGTACTATTTTGGAAATTTATAACTAAAATTTGTATTATATGGTGAAATAATTTACTATAATAATGTTTCAAATGATAAATATTACTTTGGGACACAAATGTGTTCAAAAATAAAGTTCAAAATTACATAATTTTATAAGCTACTATATAAAGTACTAAAAAAAAGTACTTTTTTAAACCATAATGAATAAAAAATGTATGTCTTTTGTGCCTAATACCTGTCAAGCTTATAGCACTTAGGGGCACAAAAGTGTTAAAGAAATAAAGTTCAAAATTGAAATAGGTTTGTAAAAAGTACTATAAAAAGTAGTTTTTATAACATTTTAAATAAAAATTTTACTATTTTAGAAATAAAAACTAAAATTTTTATAATATTCTGAAATATTTTGTTAAAAATGTTGTTGAGAATGAAAAATATTACTTTGGGACATAAATCTGTTTAAAAATAAAGTTCAAAATTACAAAATCTTATGCTCTGCTATATTAAGTACTAAAAAAAGTACTTTTTCGAAACCACTGTGAATAAGAAACGTACGCATTTTGCGACTTATTCGTGTTTAGCTTATAGCACTTAGGGACACAAATGTGTTTAAGAAGTTTAAGTTCAAAATAGTAATAGTACTTTAAAAAGTACTTTTAAAAGCAGGGTAAATAAAAATCTTACTATTTTAGAAATACAAACTAAAATTTTAATAATATTCTGAAATAATTTGTTAAAAATGTTGTTGAGAATGAACACCATTACTTGGGGACATAAATGTGTTTAAAATAAAGTTAAAAAACCCATGCCCTTTAATATTAAGTACTAAAAAAGTACTTTAATATTAAGTACTAAAAAAGTACTTTTGTGAATAAGAAACGTACGCCTTTTGCGACTAATACGTGTTTAGCTTAAAGCACTTAGGGCTACAAATGTGTTAAAGAAGTGAAGTTCAAAAGGGCAATAGTACTGTAAAAAGTACTATAAAAAGTACTTTTTAAAACATGGTAGACAAAAATCTTCTTATTTTGAAATTAAAACTAAAATTTTTATTATATTCTGAAACAATTTGCTAAAATTTTTGTTGGAAATTATTAATATTACTTTGGGACACAAATGAGTTAAATAATTAAGTTCAAAATTACAAAATCTTATGCCCTATCATATTAAGTACTAAAAAAGTACTTTTTTGAAACCACTGTGAATAAGAAACGTACGCCTTTAGCGACTAATACGTGTTTAGCTTAAAGCACTTAGGGCTACAAATGTGTTAAAGAAGTAAAGTTCAAAATTGTAATAGTACTTTAAAAATTACTATAAAAAGTACTTTTTTATAACATGGTAAACAAAAATCTTCTTATTTTAGAAATTAAAACTAAATTTTTAATAATATTTTGAAATAATTTGTTAAAAATGTGGTTGAGAATGAAGACTATTGCTTGGGGACACAAATGTGTTCAAAAATATATTTCATAATTACAAAGCTTATGTTCTACTATATAAAGTACTAAAAAAGTACTTTTTTGAAACCACTGTGAATAAGAAACGTACGCCTTTTGCCACTTATTCGTGTTTAGCTTAAATCACTTAGGGGCACAAATGTGTTTAAGAAGTTTAAGTTCAAAATGGTAATCGCACTGTAAAAAGTACTTTTAAAAACTTACTATTTTACTAAAATTTTTATAATATTTTGAAATAATTTGTTAAAAATGTTGTTGAGAATGAAAAATATTACTTTGGGACACAAATGTGCTAACAAATTAAGTTCAAAATTACAAAATCTTATGCCCTACTACATAAAGTACTAAAAAAGTACTTTTTAAAAACATAGTGAATAAAAAACCTACATCTCTTGTGACTTATATTTGTTTAGCTTACAGCACATAGGGACACAAAAGTAGCAAAAAATTAACTTCCAAATGGCATTAGTAGTGTAAGAAGTACTGTAAAAAGTACTTTCTTATAACATTTTAAATAAAAATTTTACTATTTTCGAAATTAAAATTAGAATTTTTATAATATTTTGAAATAATGTGTTAAAAATGTTGTTGAGAATGAACACTATTACTTGGGGACACAAATGTGTTAAAAAAATAAGTCCAAAATTTTAAAATACCATGCTCTTTAATATTAAGTACTAAAAAAGTACTTTTTAAAACCATACTGAATAAAAAAACCTGTAACTTATACTTGTTTAGCTTATAGTACTTATGGACACAAATGAAGCAAAAAATTAAGTTTCTAATGCCATTAGAAGTGTAAAAAGTACTTTTTTGGCACTCAATTAGTACCAAAAAGTTAGGGGACAAGTTAAGGTTTTGTTTATAGAGTTTTAAGAAATATTTTCCGTTCAATTTAAAATCTTTATTAGATTTTAAATTATTTCTATAGTTAGCTTGACAAGTTTCTATAAAAGTACTTTATTTTTAGGTACTTTTTTTTGCTATTTATTTCTTTAGATTTCACATGTTTAGCAATTTAACTTGCAGTGCTATTAATATTATGAATAATTTTAAAAATATGTAATAAAAAATCAAATAAAAAAAAAACTAAAATTGTATGCGTTTTCTAACATCCGGTACGAAATAAAACAAACTTTCAACAAAATGAATATGTTTTTCTCCAATTATAATAATATGTACTTGAAAAACTATTGCTATAGGTAAATAATATTATATATTTTTAAAATACATACATACATATATAATAAATATTTCGAAAAAAAAAATGTTTTTAAAATGACATCATATTAAATTTGTTAAAAAAAAAAGTACTAAAAACAAAATACAAACAAATTTAAAGGCAAATTTTTTGAAAAACAAATACTTTGATACTTATATTTATATAAAAAAAAGAACTTTGATAAATTAAAAATAATAATTTTAAAGTAATAATTAAACAATTATTTTCTTTTATAAAAATTATGAATTGCAGTTCAGTGTATGCGGCACCTTTGCTAGCGTCAGCAGCCAATGGCATGCAGTATGGTATGCAGTCAACAGCCTCAGCTTCAACACCTCCGCCAACAGCCTCACAACATCATAGCTCTGGTTCAGGTGTAGCCACTACATCGAGTCAAAGTAATCATACTACCGCTGGGGCTTTAACAACTAACTCCAATAACAATAATCTCAATGAAACAAATTCTCATTCGGATGACTATGGTTCACCCAAAAGTACACAAAGTAATGGTGCTGGTGGTGGTGGTGGTACTTTGCCAGCATTCCAGCGTATAGCCACTACTTCCTATAATCAAAATACACATGCTTCAGCAGTCGATCGTTATGGCTCCTTGACTAATTATAGAACTCATGTAAGTTGCTTTAAAATACTCTACGTTTTTTTTTTCAAAATTTACTTTATTAAATATATTTTATTTTTCCTTTTCTTGACAATTTAGAACGATACTTGGTCTAGTCCTTATGAGGCCATTAGTTATGCTCCCTCTTCGGTGGTGGGTAATCAAGCTTTGAATAATGTCCTAACTGCCGCCAATACAAATGTTATACGTTCCGCTGTTAATGGTCGTACGGTCAGCTCATCAGCTGAGGTAACAAGTCCTGCTGCTGCTGCTACTAATTTAGTAGCAGCCCATTTGTCGGCCTCTGCCTCATTGTCAGCCAGTAAGTTTAAATTTAAATTTCAATTAATATTGTTTATTTTTTGTTTCGTAGTTAATTACTTTATTTATTATTTATATTAAAAACACGTATTTGCCTAGTATTATATATTAATTTAAACTGATAAGCTTTATATATTAATGTGTTCACACATACCAAAACAAAAAAAAAGAAGAAAAAGGCTATGACCTTTTTCTTAAAGCAGACAAACAGTATTTAAAATAATTTAAATATAATTTCAAGTTAATTTATTTATAAAAAAAAATATTTCAAAACGTTGAAAACCTATATTCTCTCAAGAAATTTCTTTTGAATTTCCCTGCCTTATGTATCTGTCCCTTCATTAACACGCATGTGTGGCCACATTAAAGAAAAACATAAATTTTGTGCTTATAAAAATTTCACACTTACTCAGTTTTCACAAAATTGTTGTTTGAGTATCCTTCAAAATTTAGGTAGATTTTAAGAAAATTTTCTTTTTCCTATTTACGTAACCTGTGTAAATGTGGTCTGGGTTTTGGTTTTTGTGTAAATATTTACTAGTTAAATAAAGGACTTTGTGAAACCATTTGTTGTTATAGATTTCCATACAGTTTTTTTCTATTTAAAATTAGTCTTTTGTAGTGGATTGGTTTTAGTTAACGACTTCCTTTTTAAAGCTACAACTAATTTGAATTTACTGTTCCTAAAGCCTAAAAAATGAACAAGATGTTAAAACCTTCAACTGCTTTCAACTTTTCACTTTCTGTACGTTTAAGTCACGTCTGAGTGTCTTCTAAAAGTCACTTGCATGTAACTAATTGATGGCTCTTCTGCGAGGAAAAGTTCTTCCAAACAAAACAACAATATAATTATACTCCAGCGATTAAATGTGAGAGCACATTCATCGTATTATCGCATGGAAGACAATTTCGAGTTTCGCTATAAAAAGTTGTTAGATAGATAGACAGACCAGACAGATGGATAGATAGATAGATAGATAGATAGATAGATAGATAGATAGATAGATAGATAGATAGATAGATAGATAGATAGATAGATAGATAGATAGATAGATAGATAGATAGATAGATAGATAGTAGATAGATAGATAAATAGATCGATAGACAGATAGATAGATAGATAGCTAGATAGATAGCTAGATATAAGATAGATAGATAGAAGATTAGATAGATAGATAGATAAGATCAGATAGATAGATAGATAGTAGATAGATAGATAGATAGCTAGATAAATAGATATGATAGATAGATAGATAGATAGATAGATAGATAGAGAGATAGATAGATAGATAGATAGATAGATAGATAGATAGATAGATAGATAGATAGATAGATAGATAGATAGATAGATAGATAGATAGATAGATGGATGGATAGATAGATAGATAGATAGATAGATAGATAGATAGATAGATAGATAGATAGATAGATAGATAGATAGATAGATAGATTAGATAGATAGATAGATGATAGATAGATAGTAAAAGTAGATAGATAGATAGATAGATAGATAGATAGATAGATAGATAGATAGATAGATAGATAGATAGATAGATAGATAGATAGATAGATAGATAGATAGATAGATAGATAGATAGATAGATAGATAGATATATAGATAGATAGATAGATAGATAGATAGATAGATAGATAGATAGATAGATAGATAGATAGATAGATAGATAGATAGATAGATAGATAGATAGATAGATAGATAGATAGATAGATAGATAGATAGATAGATAGATAGATAGATAGATAGATAGATAGATAGATAGATAGATAGCTTATTAGTTAGCTCGTTCTATCTTTCGTTTCTTCGTTAGTTTGAAGGATATATGTATGTTTCATCAAATCCAAATATACACATAGGCCTCCATCGGGCCTATCGGGAATTGAATCCTGTCCGACTGACTGGAACTCTACCTGAGGCTCACAATAAGCGAATTTAAACTTATCATTAAGTAATTTTTGGCTTCTTCAAAGCAAGTTTAAACGTTACAACTTTTTCTTTAAGTTTTTCCGGTTTCTTTCGTCAAATGATATCGGTCAAGTGGGTGCTAACAGTTGTAATTAAGAATTTTGAACCTCATAACATATTTTAATCATTTGAGCGAGTACTTAAAACAATAAAAAATATCCCTTTGAAAGTTTCCACAGTTTGATATCAAGAAATCTACTGTTACGATGATTAAAATCCGTCCAAATTTTTTCGATTTTAAGTTCCCTGAGTAACTGAATAGTAAGATACTAGCCCTAAGACTTAAAAGGTTTAAGAGAATAGTTTAAATATAATTAAGATAAAAGATCAAAAACTTACGTAGAAGCAATATTTCATTTAAAATATCAAAAAAATATCGTTTAGATTAGAGCCCCAAATAAATTAAACATGAATATTAACAATAACTTAAACTTAGTTTAAATTAAAAACTAACATACTCCTCCTTAAAATATGCTACTAATATTAATTTTATTCTTAAGCCTACAAATACTCTACATCAACTAACCTACTATCATTTTTTTATTTAAAATCATTCAACACTATTTATATTTCTTTTTTAAATCATTTAGAAAAACAAACAAATATTTATTATTTTTTATAATAAATTCAATTAATTTTTTTTTTTGATTTTGTTACACAATCACACATAATTTTTACTACAACAAAACAACAACAATAGGAACTATATAACTTTTTGTTTTTCATTAAATTATTAAGTAAAATTTTTTTTATGTTTTGGAAACGTTAAAATAGCAAAAAAAGAAACCCCAAACATTATAAATATTGATGGTATTTTGTTATGTGTCTATTATATTTGAAGCATTTTTTGATGCCGATTTTTTTACGGAGGGGCGAGAATGTGTCAATTGTGGTGCAATTTCAACTCCACTATGGCGACGTGATAATACCGGACATTATTTATGCAATGCGTGCGGTCTTTATCATAAAATGAACGGAATGAATCGTCCCTTAATTAAACCACCCAGAAGATTGGTAAATTATTTTACAGTAATTACAAAAAGAAAAACAAAATTTTTGAATTTATCTTTTATAATTTACAAAAAAAAAAATAAAGAAAATCAAGCTTATAGAAATCCTTTGCCCTTTGTTTTTAAAACGTTCTCGCTTCTTAAAAGTTTATAGTTTTGCAGAGATTAAAAAAAACCTAGAAAAATTAATTGAATTTATTATAAATATAAAATAACAAAAAAAATTAATATTTTAATAAGTTTTTTTTTTGTATTATTTTGAATGAATGCTTTAGTTAGTTTGTTAAAATTTTGTAGAAAAAAAATTAAATGCAATTAATTTTTTTTTGTTTGTTAAACATTTAATTAATGAAACAACTCAATCACTATATTACAGTGGCCGCTGAATCAGGCGGGGATTTCTATAAGACCTTTCCGTATACAAATCGGAACAGCAACAACAACAACAGCACTACCAACATTAAAGAGGAACATGTTGTTAGTCGTGCTACTTCGCGACGTCTGGTAGGTGTTTTTCTTAATATACGATTTGTTTTTTTATTTTTTCAAATTCAAAAATTTTGTTTTTTTCTAATTTTTGAGTATTTGATAATTGTCCAATTCACAATAGATTGTGCGATTGTGAATACGACAATTGTTTTTTAAGTTAGAAAACTTTTAATTAATTTTTGTTTTTTTTTTCTTAATTTTTTAATAAAGAGTGCCTCTAGAAGGGCTGGTTTGACTTGCTCCAATTGTTTGACTACCCAAACTTCTTTATGGCGTCGTAATCCCAATGGTGAACCGGTGTGTAATGCCTGTGGTCTCTATTACAAGCTGCATAGTGTTAAACGTCCCTTAACCATGAAAAAGGATACAATACAGGTAAATTTTTAAAGAAATTATACAATATTCTAAATTTTTCTAGAAAAGTTTTTATAAATTAAGAATTCCGAACTAAATTTTTATAAAATTTTTTCTTCAACAGACTCGCAAACGTAAACCCAAAGGCTGTAAAGCCGAAAAATTATCGAAAAAGCAAGCTGCCGCAAATGCAGCTCTTGCTGCGGCGTCTGAACAATCTATAAATGCCTCAAATAATACTCTCAATACTAGCACAGAAAGTGCCAACTTGAGCCTGCTCAATGGCGATCATGGTAAGTGTTAAACGAAAACTATAGCTCATCTCTCAGCATGCTTATTAATAATTTATCGTATTCTTCTCTTTTTTGTCTCTTTTCATATTGATTATCAATTTAATTGTCGTTTTATTGTGGGGTAAAAAAATTTATGTTTAAAATAAAGATATTAAACCTTTAACACAACAATTATTAAATGCATCAACATCATCACTAACACAATCGGCGGCTACATCACCCACCAATAGTATATCATCGCCTTGTCATAATAACAATAACAATAATCACAGCATGAATATGTCACCAACATCACCGTTAATGCAACAACAACAACAGCAACAGCAGCAATCACAACAGCTTAATAATATGGGTAATATGTCACCACAGCAATATCAGCAACAACATGCACAACAGCAGCAGCAGCAACAAATGTCACCCATAATGTTTCAACATCATCAACATCAAGCCTCATCTGCCTCTTCATCTCCCTCTAATCATTTAAATTCTAATAATAATAACAATAACAATACAACAACATTTAATCATAATGATAATGAAAATTTGAAATTTATGCAAAAATATATACAACAGCAACAGCAAGCGGAACAACAACAATTAATGAATACAACCACACCACAGCAACATACAACGAATACGCTAATGAATCCTCATTCACCCAGCAGCAGCAACAACAACACCACATCACCAACAGCAGCAGCTGCCAACAAATGTGCAACTCCCAACAACAACAACAATTCACAGACACAACAACAACAGCAGCAACAACAATATCTACAGCAACAATTACACCAACATCATCATCATCAACAGCAGCAACAACTATTAACAGCCAACAATCCTCATGGTCACCCAACCAATCTACATATGGGATCTAATCATCATAGTCCTATAAATTCCTATCATCCCGAACCACCAACCAACTCACCACCCACCTCTCCTGTCTATGAAACTTATGGTGAATTATTACCTTCCTCGAATGATCCCAATAACAGCATTAAAATCGAACAATTACATCAACATTTGGCTGAAGAGCAACAACACCAGCAGCACCAACAACAACAACAGCAAATCTTACACAGCCATTTAAATAATATGAGTCGTAGTCCCTCCATGGATGATGATTATGAATATCATCAATTTTTACTACAACGTCAGCAACATTTACACGATTTGCAACAGCAACAGTTTTTGCAATTCGTTCCACAACATTTGCATGATTTTAGTCGTAAGTTCGATAGGGAGACTGTAGTGAAAATGGAATAATTTTAAAGATGTTATTTAATCCGTTTCCAGTTGTTAGACTGGAGCTCGAAGGACCATATACATTTTCATTTCAGTCGTTACAAAACTTTGGTTTTTATAACTTTTAAAATTTCTATTTTAAAAGAAATGTTTAAACCCTTTTCTAGCTGAGGGAACTTATAAGTAACACTTCGTATAAATATTTTTACTATAGAAAGTTCTTGGAGCAACTGAAATGATATCTTAGTTCCGAAAGACTCGGTGCTATAAAATTTGCTTTCCACAAAAGGCTATTTATTGAAAAAAAAAAACTCTCAAAAAATTCGAATTATAATTCAAAAAACTCAATTTTAAAGGTTATGAGTTTCGAAGGAATTCTAAATTTTAACCAACTTTATCTGGTTATTGCCCAGGCATGGAAAATTAAGATTTTAAAATAGTACTAATTTATAAAAAGAGTATTTTTAACTTTTTAAAGTACTAAAGTTGAATAGATTATAGACTAGACTATGGACAGACCAGAGACTAGACTATAGACTAGACCAGAGACTAGACTATAGACTAGACTATAGACTAGACTATAGATAGACTTAGACTGACTATAGACTAGACTATAGACTAGACTATGACTAGACTATAGACTAGACTATAGACTAACTATAGACTAGACTATAGACTAGACTATAGACTAGACTATAGACTAGACTATAGACTAGACTATAGACTAGACTATAGACTAGACTATAGACTAGACTATAGACTAGACTATAGACTAGACTATAGACTAGACTATAGACTAGACTAATAGACTAGACTATAGACTAGACTTAGACTAGACTATAGACTAGACTATAGACTAGACTATAGACTAGACTATAGACTGACTATAGACTAGACTATAGACTAGACTATAGACTGACTATCGACTAGACTATAGACTAGACTATAGACTAGACTATAGACTAGAACTATAGACTAGACTATCGACTAGACTATAGACTAGACTATAGACTAGACTATAGACTAGACTATAGACTAGACTATAGACTAGATATAGACTAGACTATAGACTAGACTACTAGACTAGACTATAGACTAGACTATAGACTAGACTATAGACTAGATAGACTAGACTATAGACTAGACTATAGACTAGACTATAGACTAGACTATAGACTAGACTATAGACTAGACTATAGACTAGACTATAGACTAGACTATAGACTAGACTATAGACTAGACTATAGACTAGACTATAGACTAGACTATAGACTAGACTATAGACTAGACTATAGACTAGACTATAGACTAGACTATAGACTAGACTATAGACTAGACTATAGACTAGACTATAGACTAGACTATAGACTAGACTATAGACTAGACTATAGACTAGACTATAGACTAGACTATAGACTAGACTATAGACTAGACTATAGACTAGACTATAGACTAGACTATAGACTAGACTATAGACTAGACTATAGACTAGACTATAGACTAGACTATAGACTAGACTATAGACTAGACTATAGACTAGACTATAGACTAGACTATAGACTAGACTATAGACTAGACTATAGACTAGACTATAGACTAGACTATAGACTAGACTATAGACTAGACTATAGACTAGACTATAGACTAGACTATAGACTAGACTATAGACTAGACTATAGACTAGACTATAGACTAGACTATAGACTAGACTATAGACTAGACTATAGACTAGACTATAGACTAGACTATAGACTAGACTATAGACTAGACTATAGACTAGACTATAGACTAGACTATAGATAGACTATAGACTAGACTATAGACTAGACTATAGACTAGACTATAGACTAGACTATAGACTAGACTATAGACTAGACTATAGACTAGACTATAGACTAGACTATAGACTAGACTATAGACTAGACTATAGACTAGACTATAGACTAGACTATAGACTAGACTATAGACTAGACTATTTACCGAAAGTTTATAAGTTAGAAAAAGTATCGAAAATTTCGTGGGTGTACCGCGATATTCTTCGAAATCTGAATTTTCCATGTCTGTTATTGTCTATGCATATTATTCGCATTGCTGAGTTTCGAAGGACCCTTATTAAAATCACAAAAACCAACAACTAAGCAATTTCAATAAATTTTAAACCACCTCTCCCTAAACATCCAAAAAAGTAAAACCAAAGATTACCTAAAAAAATCTAGAAAAAAATCCCTAAAATATTTTTAAAAAATCTAGAAAATTTCCAAAGAATCTTTAGAATTTATATTTCCTAAATACATATAACATAGAAGTTAATTTTTTCTCTACAAATAATTTAAACTTTATATTTTAATAAAAAAACAAAACTTTAGCTATAAATCTAAAAGACAACCAAATGTATACTTTTAAAAATTTTTAAATATTTTTAACAAAAAAAATCCACTTCCTTTAAGGACCATAAAAAAACTTTCAAAATTGTTTGTAAATAATTTTTTTAAAACTAAAATTAATTAAGTAATTAATTACCCTTTAAACCAAATTATTAATTAAAATTTATAAAACCACTTTAATTTAAATATTATTTTTTTTACGAAATTTAATTTTTATAGCAGAGATTTTAAGTTAATTGTTTTTGCTTTTATTTTAATTTTTCTATATAGTTTATTTTCTGTAAATTTTAAACACAAAATATTTTATAAACTTTTTATTTTATAATTTGTAAATTTTTTTGATATATATTTTTTTAAATTTAATTCAAAATTTATTTTATCTATTTATATATATAAAAACAAAAAATTTCAAAAAACAAGACACCGTAAATCTCATATATTTAATAAGTTTATATATTGTTTTATTATTATTATTTTATATATAAATTTTTTATAACAAATTTAAATTAAAATTTATTTTATTATTATTTTTTATATAAATATTTTAAATTAAATTGTTACTTCCTATTGATATTTTAATTCTTCCATAGTTATTAAGTCCACAAAACAAACGAACATTTTTAAATAATAAATAAAAAAAATATTGAAAATATAGAACCGATGGATTTTGAAATTTATTTGTTACCGAGTAGTCCCTAGACTAATTAATTTATTTGTCCATATACCAGTCTATTTATAATCAATAGACTAGTTAATAGAATATTCAATAAACTTGTCCATGGACTAGTTGGACTAGTGCATAGAGTAGTTAATGACGAAACCCGAGCCCATTTTAGACTAGTTCATAAGACTAACTCATAGTCTAGTCAACATAAAGAAGCAGTTTTGAAAATCTTCATGTGTTCCTTATTTATCCCTAAGGAATGTGAGCCCTAAGGGCCAAAGTGTTTCAGATTCCATTTTGAGAATTGCAGAGAATATTATATTGCAGGACGTGTGACCTTTTAACAATTTTTTTACATTTTCTTGTTTAGAATTATTGACGGATATATATTCTAAACCTAAAATCGAATACCCCTTGGCTACGTCCGTGTCGAGTTTTAACCCGATCGTGCCAGCCGTTTAGAAAAGCCAGATTTATTTTAATAAAATTTAGATTCTGCCCCACTGTGCAATGTAGAGAAAAAGAGTAAACAAATGTATTCAAAAAATTTTATGATAAAATGTAAAACGACTATACATTTAAAGTGCCTTTAATAAAATTCCGCTTAGTGTATATTCTAGATCATTAATTTTCGTTACAAAATTTAGCACCTATAAGCAGGCAACATTAAATCATAATATTTACCACTGTGGAGAAACCAACCACTATCAAGGTAAGGCAGTTCAATAATTTGGATAACATAGTTAAATAATGGTTTATGTGGTGAATTAATTTGTTTAACACAACTTGAAAAACTCACCACTTATGAGCAAAATGTTTATGAAATTTTATTTACCCTCTCATTTTATAAAACGAAACTGTCGTTTAACAACTTAAAATAACCATCTAATTAAAATCGAAAAAAATGTATTATTACTTTATTTATATCTAAAATAACCAATGAAAAAATATATTTAGCTTAGCCATACACCTTATAAACAACATTAAAACCACGTCTTCTTTAGCCATGCCACACACCATCAAAAAAGTGTTGCCAGGAAACTGAAGCAAACACGATGTAAAAGTTGCTAAAGGTATTTTCAGACTACAATACTGAGTATTAACTAGGGTGATCGATTATTCAACATTTTCCAAAAACCGGTTTTCGAATAGTTCGAATAGCTGACATTTAAAAAAAACCGGTTGATATTTTTCAAATTCAGAAAAAACCGGTTAACCGGTTTTTTTATAAATAAAAAAAAATATATTTTAATTTGAAAAACTTAATGTTCATGTTTAAATTTGATTAGTAAAACATGACCCGAAATGATTTTTAACAGTTTAAAAGATTATAACTTTAGATCTAGTCGTCTGATTTACATTATTTCTATAATATAAAAAATTAGGAAAAAAGTAGGACACTTCTGTTATACATAAGGTACTATGTAATCCTAGCTTATTTTAAAAGCCCTGTTTAGGAAATCCGCATAGGCATTCGAACACTTCCATAAAATTTCAGCCGTAAATTAATTATTGTAATTGGAATATAATCTTAAGATTGATAAAATTTTATCAAACAGTTATCAGTTTTACAAATTATTTTTTTTTAATTAATTAGGAAAATCAAAAAAGTTTAACGCTAGTTCCTCGACTCGAATATTTTTAAAATTTAGACGGGCTGTATTATTATTAACTTAAAAATTTCATTTAAATAATCTTTGAACACAAAGCAAATAAAAGTATTCGAAACCGGTTTTTAAAAAATGAAAAAACCGGGTTATTCGATATTCGAAAAATCAACATTAAGAAAAAACCGACACTGGTAAAGCAGAAAAAACCGGTTTTAAAACCGGTTGAAAAATCGAGTCACCCTAGTATTAACACACTTCAAATTAAAAATATTATGAAAATAATTCGCATTTTCAAAAAATCAATCCGAAAAATACATTTTATGTTTACACTATAATATTTGTAATATTTTTTATCCAATTTTCAATTATTTATGCACTTTTCGTTCTTATTTTTAATGTATTTTACACTTTTTGTTTGTTTTTTATTGTATTTATAAAAAACATACCGAATACGTTTGAAAATAAAAAGTTTTTGAATTGTTGTAAAAAATTTATGAATACCGAACCGTATGCCAAAAAATCAGTAATATTTTTGAAAACTAAATACAAAATTATATTTAGACTAGTAAATTGTATTATGATACAAACATTTTTGCCAGGTATTAATACTCAGTAGGGTAGTCTGAAAAGACCGGAAACAGGTATGGGAGAGGAAAGGGAAAGACAACAAGGATGGGAACAAGCACAAGCGAGACGAGGTCGAGACAAGCGAAGCTAGCGGAGACGAGCGCGAGCGAGCGAGCGAAGCGAAGAGCGAGGAGCGAGACGAGAGCGAG